ACACCCTTTATAAAAAAACACCGTTCACATAAACATAAACCCTTTTCACGTGGCTCCGGTTTAACAAACCGCAACATACCGCTCAAATTCGAGTGGTAGGTATCCACACGTCACTTTGTAACCGGGTTAGAAAATGGTATGTCATTTCTCTAACCGTTTTGTAACCCGGTTAGTTAAACTGGAGCCACGTGAAAAGAACTATAGGATTAAGCCTAGTACTCATAACTGCGAAATTCGCATTTTTTTGACATTGCGTTGACAATTTGACGTTTTATGCGTGTATCAAACGTCACATAGTCGAAGCAATGTCAAAAAAATGCGAATTTCGCAGTTATGAGTACTAGGCTTAACGCTTATTTGTTCTCTACGTTTTATTTTGGGAAATCGAAAAGTGCCAATTTTTAGGTTCGGTAACCTCTTTTTTGCGAGGCTCCTTGAAGCGCGAGGCCGTCGGCAGTCGCCGACGCCTGGCTACGCCATTGGTCATCTGGGGTGCTTCTTCCAAAGGCCTAAACCTCTTCAACATAATGTAAATCTCCATAAGGCACCTTAGATGACGTCATCAAGTTAACTTACCCCAGACAACCTATTTAACTCTGGTACGTGTTTCCAAAAATACTTGTCAATTTTGTCAGTGTAAGATGTCCAATTAAATAAGGCCCTTTTTTATATCCAAACTCAAGAACCTCCAAAAACCCTAAATACAAATACTCAAATACGTAATTGTTGAAAAGCGGGAGTTTTTTTAGAAAGCGGGAGTTTTTGCTGCGATGTTTTACGGCAGGAGGCATGTGTTATGATCCCACCAATGTAACCAATGTAGTGATTACAATACCGATCACGATACCGACCGTAATAAAACAATACCGAATAACTTCTGTTTAAAATACTTTTATTATAGAATGATACACAGTTGTTGAGGAGAGAGTCTTACAAAAATGTCTGTGTAACCAAAGCTGTCTTCTGACTGAAAGTTGTGTCTTGACTGATCTCTCTTCCCAAAATCCTCTTTCGACATCCCTTCTAAAAATCTATTGCTATAAAATCTATTACCTACCTACTTAATCTAAGAAAAACCCTCAATAAATGTCGGCGACATATCTCAAAGAATGGTCCTTCGGGATACTTGGAAGGTTTGGGTGTTTATGATGGACAATGTTTATTTTATTTAAAATAATAACAAACAGTATTTTTTGCTCACATAAAGTCTGCAGGGTTTACAATTTAATACTAACAATTCAAATCCTTCTTGCTGGAAAAGGTCTAGACAATATAATAAATTTATACCTTTCTTTGATGCCGAACCGAACCAGTATTTAGGATAGAGGATACCTGATATAAAATAAATGTCTTTATTAAAATAATATAAATGATTAATTTCATTACAAAAATAGTATGGGGAAAACACTACACATGATAAAAAAGCGGGAGTCTCCCGCCTAAATCGGGAGGGTTGGCAACCCTAAGTACATGCTAGCCCATATCGCCTACAAAAACAGCGCATACTTTTACACCTTTGTTTGCATCCACACCTCTCAACTTGCCTTAAAGCAGACCAGGCAGGGGGCTACTCAGACCACAACGGTGCTAGCGTTAAATATGTCTTTGACCAGCCATAACTTGAAGGAGATTGAAACTGGTTTGTAACAGTATTTAGTATTTGCTTGACCCCATATCTGGCCAGCTTGGTAAGCTGCTCGCTGCTCTTAAAATGTGCTGCCCTAAGGGGCTGGGTGTGAGAAGAATTAAATTTATTGGTTCCATTTATTCCAGAGTCAAGGTCTTGAAGAATTGTGGATTCAGTTTGGTGTTGGTTCTAAAAGTCAAAAGACGTTATATTGCTGTTCAGGCAATTGCCAAAGTTCTCGGACCTGAAAAATCGAAAGCACTCACAGGATTTCACGCATTTGCGGATGAGATTCGGTTTAATTTTTCACATCAAAAAGAAAAAAAAAATGCTTGATCTGCCGTGGACTGCAGCCAGGACTACAAAAGCACAGGTGAGCCACGATCCGTAGAGGAGCAGTTGAGTAGAGAAAATATCGAAGAAATTGTGGTAAAAATGTACTATAGTCAGTAGTCAGTGTAGTACAAAAGGTGTTGATTCGGCTAGATATGTGATTTTTGGTAGCGGTCGAAAGCCAATAATTTAACTCCTCCCACATCCAGCGCCTTAAGGCAGCAGATTTTAAGAGCTGCTTACCAAGTTGGCCACATATGGGGTCAAGCAAATACTGTTAAAAACCAGTTTTCATCTCCTAAGTTGGGGCTGGTCAAAGACAGATTTAACGCTAGCACCATTGTGATCTGAGTTACCCCTGTCTGCAGTGTCGGACTGGGGATCATTTGGTCCACCGCCGGGCAAATGGTGAAGTGGCCTACCCAACCCAAACCCCATTCAATAAAAACACTTTTGATAATCATTTGTTGAATCTGGTACCTAGTTATATTAGAGATAAAAAAAATAGGTAGGTACCTAGGTACTTGAGATTTTCTCTCGTGTTTTCTGCACATATCTGCTTATATATTTTCTTGCTATTTACCCAACATTTAGTCAGTTGTTGGCTGGATGCTGTAGCTTCTAATAATTGTCGTTTTCTCGCGATCGCTCTTTTTTCTGTACTCGTCTTATATTCTTTTGGGTCTCTATCTATAAGCGTTTGGTTATGACGATTTTACATAACCATTTTTCTAGTATTTGAATTACCTAATTTCATGAGACACATAACACAACTAGTGGTGTTATAGACTAGGTTATGAATTTATAACACAACTAGTGGTGTTATGGACTAGGTTATAAATCTATAACACAACTAGTTTTTGTGATTTGACAAATCTCATAGTTAAACCTGTAAAGGTAAAATGAAGGTAGACAACTACTAATAAACGAAATTTCGAAAAAACATTGTGTTATTTTTCTCGTGTGATTAGAACGACTCGGTCTACTACCTCGTCGTTCTAATCTTTCACACTCGTTATTGTAATCATTTTCATAAACGCACTTGTATCATAAATAACTATTATTGTAATTCCTATTTCATATTATGTTGATACCTATATCGATGTTTGTTTGGAATTTTTGCAATAAATGCTTTATAATAATAATGGCCGTGTTTAACGGGACTTAGCGGGTGTTAGCGCTTGAAAGCGTTTTCCGCTAATTGACCGATAAACGACTAGTTAGCGCAAAAGCGCCTGTCAGCTTACTTAGCTCATTTGAAAAGTGCTATTTTTAGTTAGCTGTTGTTAGCGCTAATATGAAATGTCATAAATGTCTAATCTACCCTAACCCCTAACCTAACATCACATATTTTTTCTTTTGGTTTTTGGTTGATGTTGGTAGGAGCTGCTTTATTTTCGAATTTTCGACATGAATATTCAAAATTATGGAAATACCGATGTCATTAAACAAAAAATTCCTAATTAGGGTTTTGTTAAGTTATGTTTAGAGTTTAGAAAAAATCTTGGAACATAAATATGTCGTTCAACGGCTACAGTTAGCGCCACAGCCAATAATAATCTTGAAAATATTGTCACGAAACGTCTCTGCTTCGCTGTGTAGCTCGACTATTCACCCTGAAAAGCAGAACGGGTAGGGAGGAGTAACAGGGAAACACCATAACAGTTTTAAATAGCTAATATATATTGTTACAGGACGGAGATTACGGAAACATGAATATTTAGTTATTACCACATCATCGTCATCTGGGACCAGCTAACGTCCCTTCGGGTGGTGAGGCTCAAAAAAGGGCGGACATTCAAACGTCGGGTATACCCCTGCAAGGCTAAACAACCAAACCAGCCCTACAGGAAAATCTAGAAAGCCTTTTCACTGTAGGTCAAAGCCTGGGTCGTCAGAGAGTATCTGCCCTGATAGAGATACGATAGCGTATTAACTTTATCAGTCCAGATAGTTCCCCAACTTTGAGTCGTCTCTAATCACCTACTGATTGCAGCGAAGCGCTGAGACACGACTAATTTGCCATAGTGGGGCCCGGGCTTTTATATCCAATATTTGCTGACTATGATTAGGTTAATTTGTGTTTTCTTGCTTAGTTGCAGTTATTTGTTATAACCCGTGGGTCAGTGTTTTGAATTTGGTTATAGCCCGTGGTCCCATGTAGGGTTGACACATGCCCCTCCCGATGAAGGCATTGGCCCCACAATGCCCGAGGAGACGTATCTGGCTTCAAAAACTTTATGTGGTGTTTAGGGGTTCTTTCTGTTATCAATAAAACTAGTCGCGAACGATAATGAGTGTTGTATTAAAAATATCACAGTTAAGATTATTGTCGGGCTTAATTTATAGGGTACATTGGATGAGGCGCGTGGCTTGTCTTTGGGCTGTTCTCTAGTGGACTGGTTCTTCCAGTCGCTGTGTCATGGAGCTTCATACTTTGTTCCTTTCCGGAAGTAGACGGCGCTGATAGGCGGTTGCTTACTTGGTTGCTAAGTTGGTTGCCTATACGTATATAACACCTCTCCTCTATGATTTTTCAAAATCTAAAATAAATACAGTACTATCATAATAACAATATTCACATTTACAGATCGGTACAATACAATTAATAGTTTACATGTTACATAAATATCACAATATAAAATCTTTCAGTTTATTAGGAACAATTCATTTGCGTTTTATTTCCTTACTAGGTACGCTGTCATTATGATGTCCATGATCGTCATTATTACTTAACAATTTCTTTTTTACGTGACTGACAGACCCTGTCAAATTTTTATTTTTTATTAAGATTCATAGTAGAATCTTCGTCACAACTTTCAAAGCTCTCTGAATGAACAGAAATGTTACTTTCATCAGCTGTCGATTCCATTGGGCCTTGCTCATCCAATAAATTCAATTTATACTTACAATAGTTACACAAATCATTATATAAGGTACAGTCACAACATGAGGGTGGTTCTGCAAGAGAGGGGTGGCTTGAATTACAAGGGGAGCTAGGTTGAAGCTGGCTCTACCTGTGGTTGAGGTACGTATCTCACTATATGCTGAGAATCGAATCTAAAGAAGAATTATTAGTTATTATGTTTTTATCAATTTCAAAGTTATCAGTATCATAATCATGAAATATGGTTAAGTTTGGGTCAAAAAGAACATTTTTCGATTCTGCTTCCCACTGGCATATTTTTATTTGGTTCTTATGGCGTGTCCAAATGTTTCCTTCTTCCAGTTCACACAAGAATTTTGCTTTTCCAGTCTTCTTTATTAGTTTGGCCTTGGTCCAGGCAATCTTACTTCGATTTCTATAATCTTTCACTAATACCATGTCTCCTACTTTTAATCCTCTTTCCTTCCCTCAGTAGTTTTTCTTTTGACGTTCCTGAGCCTTTCTTAAGTTTTCTATTGCACTTTTATCTGCTGTATCCAGAATGTTGTCACTTTTTCGCATACTAGAAAGTCTCGTTCTCAATTCTCTTTTGTACATCAAACTAGCTGGTGATGCTTTTGTTGAGCAATGCTCCGTCGTTCGATAAGTGAACAATATTCTTGATATTAGAGTTGATAATGATTGATTTTTGTTTTCTGGATCTTTAACGTGTTGAGTTTAGTTTTAAAATTTTTAACTGCATTTTCAGCGGCTCCATTACTTTGCTGATGACCAGGAGGTGATTTCAAGTGCTTGATGCCATTCAGTCTACAAAATTGTTGCATCTTTGCTGACACCAAATTAGGTCCATTGTCGCTCACCATGGTACTTGGTATGCCAAATCTGGAAAATGTCTCTCTCAATTTTTCAATGATGTCATCGGTGGTGACTTTAGTCATCGGATACACTTCCAACCATTTCGTGTAAGCATCTACAATTATTAAAAAATTATGTTTTACCATTGGACCACAAAGATCTATGTGGATTCTATTAAATGGTCGATTTTCTACAGGCCATGGCGTCAAAGGGCTTTTTGGTGGTGCCTGTACGGTTACTCTGCATGGCACACAGCTTTTCATGATTTCTTCGATATCTTTATCTAACGTTTCCCAGTATACAAAGGATCTGGCTGTAGCTTTCATCTTTACAATTCCATTATGTCCTTCATGCAACATTTCCAGAACTTTCCTACGTAGTTTGCTTGGAATCACTATTCTCAGGCCCCACATTAGAATGTCATTTTCTATAAATAATTCATTACGTCTATGATAATATGCCTTCAACTCGTCATTAATTTGTTTTGGCCATTTTTCAGCTCTAACACATTTAATGATGTCTTGCAATTGACTATCTTGTTTCGTATTTATCATAATTTCATGATTATTTAAAGGCCAATTATCGATTTTATTAGTAAAATTCAAATAACTTACATTTTCCTCTATAGCTACTTCTGTTTTGCTTGGTTTTCGGGAGAAATAGTCTGCAATGGTATTTTCCTTACCCTTTATGTGCTCTATTTTATAGTTGAAACCAGCCAGAAATGCTGCCCATCTTTGTAGTCGATTTTCGTACATTTTTGGTATGCCTTTATGTTCACCCATCAATGTTATTAGTGGTTTATGATCTGTGCGGATCGTGAAGAATCTTCCTGCCAGATACTGGTAGAATTTTGTTAAACCTAGGTAAATCGCACTGCTTTCTTTGTGTAGGGTGCTGTATGATACTTCAGCTTTTGTCAGAGTCCTAGAAACAAAATTAATTGGTCTTTCTACTCCATTGGGCATAACATGGGATAAGACAGCAGCAATACCGTAATCGGAACTGTCAGTTGTCAAATAAATGGGTAATTTTGGGTTAAAATGCGTTAGTACTAAATCAGACATGAGAATTTCTTTAATTTCCATAAAAGCTAATTGACATTCTTTACTCCAATAATACTCGGTTTCCTTTTTGAGCAAATTATATATGGGTCTCAAAATTGAGGATAAATTTGGGATGAATTTTGAATAATAAGTTATCATGCCTAACAAACTACGAACTTCAGTTACATTATCGGGCGGCTCTGCGTCACATATAGCCTTAATTTTGTCTTCAGCCTTGTGAAGACCATGCTTACTTATTTTATGTCCTAGATAATGAATTTCTTCTTTGAAAAACTGACATTTCTCTCGGCGTAGCGTCAATCCGGCATCGCTGAGTTTCTGCAAAACTTTACATAAGATTTTTAAATGACTTTGCTTATCAGGACCTGTTATTAATAAATCATCTTGGTAGACTGAAACATACTCCATACCTTGGAACAACTGTTCCATGTATTTTTGACATTTACTGCTGCCAGGAGTAATGCCAAAGGGCATTCGATTTATAGTGAAAATACCTTTATGCGTACTCAATCTGAGGATTTCCTTAGCATCGTTATCTAATTCAAATTGATTATATGCCTGATTTAAATCTAGTTTAGTGAAATGCTCACCGTTATGCAGTTTCGCAAAGATTTCCTCCACCAACGGTACTGGGTGATGTTCTTCTTTCAGCCATTTGTTCACCGTGCTTTTATAGTCTCCACACAACCTCAGTCCACCATCGGCCTTGATGACGATCACGACAGGTGTTGCCCATTCACTCGTTTCAGTTGGGGTTAGGATACCATCCTTCACCATTTTGTCTAATGCCTCGTCAACCTTCTCTCGATATGCCAGTGGTACAGGCCTGGGTTTTAAAAATATGGGAATAGCACCTTCTTTTAACTGTAAAGAAATTTTTGCATGTTTAAATTTACCCAATTTGTTATTAAATACGTCTGGAAAATTTTCAATAATTTTATTTATTTCATTTTTATGAGAAGCTGATTTAATAGTGTTTACCATTTGAAACTTTATATTAAATAGATTTAGCCAATCTCGACCCAATATGTTTGCAGCACCATCCTTTACAACGTACAATTTGACAGGTTTACAAACATTTAAATAATCAACATTTACTACAAAATATCCACTAGGAGAAAACAATCCTCCATTATAACTACACAGCATTATGTTATCTTTAATTAATTTATATTTATTAGCAAAATGTTTTTCATAATATTTTTTATTAAGTCCAGAAATTTGGGCTCCTGAATCGATCATAAAAACATGTTGTTTATTATCAATTTTTATGTTTACATTAAATGGATTATTTTTAAAATCTTTGTCAAAAATTCCAAACATTGTTGCTGCTGTAGTTTCCTGCTCATCATCGGATTCTCCACATTCAGAGTCAGAATAATAATTATTAAAATTTTGTACATACCCATTGTTTGCTTTGTTTACAAAATTAAAACCTGTGTTTGTTGTGCAAACCTTGGCCAGATGACCAATTTTTTTACATTTACTACATTGGTACGTCCTGTACTTGCATGGGGGTGAATGACTTTTTCTACAGCACCTGCATTTTTGACCCTGTTTTCCATTTCTTCTTGTCGACGCTGATCTAGAACGATTTCGGCCGCCATGTTGGCCTCGATCTGTCACTCGCTGTCGATGTCCACTTCCACTTCCATTCCATCGTCCTTGCTCATTGACATTTTGGTAGTGGGCGGATCCTTTACCATGGTTGCTGCCATGTCGTCCATTTTGATTTAGCGGGAATTTGGAATTTCTTTGTTCACCCATGACGTAATTTACACGCGGATTTGCTGAATTTTCTTCATTTTCGCAATTTTCTCGCTGCATCGCCAAGGTAACGAGTTCTTCCAACGCTTTAGAACACTTTTCTTCGCAGATTCTATCCAATATTGAACCTTTTTGCAAACCACATACGAACTTATCTCTCAGGACATTGTTCAGGTCATTTTGAAAATCGCAATTTATTGCTAGGCTTCTAATTCTTGCATAGTAATCGGCCACGTTTTCACCATTTTCCTGCCTCGACTCATAAAACCTTCTTCTCTCGCTCCATACATTTATTTGGGGACCATATTGCTTGTTTAGCAGATTAACGAGAGCCTGGAACGACTTTGACTTCGGTAATTCGGGATGGCACAGATTACGCAACATTTTGTAAGTTTGGACGCCAATCACACTTAAAAGCGTCGCAATCTTAATATTTTCTTCTTTGATGGCATTCGTCGTAAAATGCTGCTCGAGCCGTTCTTGGTATTCGTCGAATTCTGCAAACCTCGTGGTAGCCATTTTGTACTTGATCACTCACGTCGCGGTTTTACCTATTTAAAACACCGATCTCGTCGCCAGTTGTGGTGTTTAGGGGTTCTTTCTGTTATCAATAAAACTAGTCACGAACGATAATGAGTGTTGTATTAAAAATATCACAGTTAAGATTATTGTCGGGCTTAATTTATAGGGTACATTGGATGAGGCGCGTGGCTTGTCTTTGGGCTGTTCTCTAGTGGACTGGTTCTTCCAGTCGCTGTGTCATGGAGCTTCATACTTTGTTCCTTTCCGGAAGTAGACGGCGCTGATAGGCGGTTGCTTACTTGGTTGCTAAGTTGGTTGCCTATACGTATATAACACTTTAAAAAAATACAAAAAAAAAATAAAACTTAAAACTACATTATTCATCTTCGGGCGTCTTCTTCTTTGTGATTGGTTCTTTGTGCGTGTCCATTCTTCCATGGCTTCGAACACTAGAACAGTGTCTGCGGTTTGCTTCTACTTCGTTGGTGATTCTCTGGGTTTTGGTGGTTCCAAGGCTTGTTTGCCTGGATCACTCTTGTAGATGTTCTGGTTTTGCTTTCATGTCAGTGAACTCCTTGTGTTCTGACAACGTCTTCTGCTGTGTTGCCTAGGCTTATTGGCTCAGACTTTGACTGAAGGTAGTGGATCTACGTTGTGGGTCTAGGCTAGCAATTGGCCTAGGTTGGTCTTGTAGATGTCGTGGTCTTGGTCCAAACAATTGTTCTTGTAGATGTTCTGACAACGTTTCACGCATGTCGTGGTATCTAGGTTGTTGGATCCCATGTCGTGGATCTAGGCTAGCGATTGGCCTAGGTTGGTCTTGAAGATGTGGTCTTGGTTCAAACAATTGCTTTTGTAGATGTTCTGGCGTTGTCTTCCGCATGTCGTGGTATCTGGGCTAGTGTATCCAATGTCGTGGATTCTTGGCCCGTGGTTTGCTTTTCGTAGTGGACCTTGTTTCTCGTAGGGGACCTTTGTTTGGAAGCTTGTTCCGTGGTTGTGGCGCTTTGAATAGTGCCCCTAGCTTTTTGAGTTTTCTCCTTTGAAGTTCCCGCTGCCACTGGAAGGTTATGGTTGAGACGCCTCTGCCTTGTTTTACTATACAACAGTGATTAGCAAAGTTTACAAAATTTTCGAGTTTTATTTACATCCTATAGTACGGAAATCTCTTACCTTTTTATCATTTATATATAATAATAATTATCCTTACTTACTATCCCTTGTTAT